TGGCGCCACCCCTGTAACAAAGCAGTTTCTGAGAATTATCGGCCTGTCAGCCTCACATCCGTAATCTGCAAAATTCTTTAATCTATCATAGGATATAGTTTGATGGATCATTTAAAATATAATAATAATAATAATAATAATAATAATAATAATAATAATAATAATAATAATAATAATAATAATAATAATAATTTTTATCAGACAATTTAGCTTTATATACCTGGACGTTCCACTACACTCCAGTTGTTCAAATCTATATCTATAATCTATGGACTGAGAATTTAGATCAAGGGGGAAAAGTGGATATAGTTTATATACATTTTGCCAAAGCTTTTAATAAAGTTCCTCGTAGAAGACTTATTGGTAAACTTGAGCCTAATGGAGTTGTTGGTCGAGTAGGTGCATGGATTCAAGCTTTTTTATCTGGCAGAGTTCAAAAAGTAACAGTAAATGGGCATTCATCCTCCTGGACTAATGTCACAAGTGGCATCCCGCAGGGAAGTGTGTTAGGACCACTTCTGTTGTTTTTTTACATAAATGATATGCCTAACTATGTTAGTTCAGAGATGTCTTTATTTGCTGATGATACCAAATTGTATAGGGATGTATCAACATATAGGGATTATGCACAGTTGCAGGATGATTTAGAGCAACTGCGTGAATGGTCATTGACCTGACAGCTCGAATTTAATAGTCAGAAATGTAAAATTCTACCATTGAGAATCGATGTACAATATGACTATGCTTTAGATCCTAATAATAGTACTTAGGTGTCACTATTGATTGTACATTATCATTTGAAGCTCACGTTCATGAAAATGTTAACAAAGTCAATAGATTAATGGGACTTATTAGGCGTGTTTTCTCTTTGGCCTATATGGAACCTGATATATTTTTGTCATTATATAAGGCTTTTGTTAGACCGCATCTTGAGCTTAGGGTTGTGGTTTGGTGTCCTCATTTAGAAAAAAACATATAGATCTTATCGAGAGTTTCCAGCGTACCCAGCTAGCAAAGCGACGTTGGCCCAACGTTGGCAAGCGTCGGTAAGCGTCCGGGTCGGATATCTGACGTTGGTACGACGTTGGTGTTTGGTTGCAAAATTTGGTCGGAGAGGTAACGTCAAACCAACATTGGAATTTCACGTTGGCCCAACGTATGAATATATTTGTCGATTTTCCGAT